TAACAAGAGACTTCTTCGCATATGTCAAGCTGGATGGTGACCTGGACACCCTCAGAGCAGACTTTCCATGGAAACTAAAAGCGTGTTTTGCTTGTTTGATGAGTGGTTTTGGTAAAATGTTTTCTTACTTTTTCCTAGACATCGCCTGGTGGTATTACCAGTATCAGAGAGGTAAAAAAGTGTAAACTAACTTGACTACTTTGCTCACATTACTTTCAGTAGGAGAGCTTCTTAATCAAGTATATATTTTGTAATTAGTCTTCTCACTGACCAACTTTCTGTGCCCCTTAACAACAAACCCCACCTAAACAGAAAGAGTTGGAAACATTCTTTTAGAGACAAGTTACAGGAAAAATTTTGCTCCCCTTAAGAAACTGATATGTTTTTCTCTCACAGACAATAAGATATATGTAAAATCTCAGAGCCAATTTGTGGCTCAAGTGTAGGAACTGCTTAGAACAAATGATCTGGATTTCTATGTTCTCTTTTTCCCCCGTGGTCTCGACCTCCTAATCTAATCAATATTTTCTGAGGCAGTTTTTCCTATTACCTTATCTCTTTTTATTTTATTATATGTATTTCATATAATCAGCTTCAAGTCCTTTGTGAAACAAAGCAGAATGTGTTTAAATAAACAAATGGTGAGGGAGAGAGAGGTGGTAGCCTGGGTGATGTGAGGTAGGAGAATGGTAGTGGGTGGAAGGGCAAGTAGGTATAGATCAGGAGCCCAAAACTCAGATGCCTGCAGGACCAAGCAGGGAACACAACTGAAGTAAGGGAGCCAGGGGTGAACAGAGGGCGCACTAGAGGCTTTCACTGCTCAGAGGGATCAGCCCCTGCTCAGCTCTGATAAGCTGTTACCTTGTGAGAAGTTGAGACCAAAGTTATCAGAGAATCCCATTTTCCAAGAGAAATCAGAAATCCAAACTTGTGCATGAATCTCTCAACTTTAAATATTGGAAATTCCAAACAAAATTAAAACACATTTTATGGGCCAAACAAGACTTATCTTTGGACTGTGTTCATGCCAATGACCAACACATTTTGTAACCTCAAAACTAAATGGGTGGTTACACAATCCAATCCAGAGACCCCATGATGGAGAAAATATTTTCCAGTACAGGAAGAAGGAGATGGTTACAGCCATGGTCTTTGGTCATGTAATGGTTATGGACCTAACAGAGGAGACCCTCAGCAGAGAGAAGACCAAAGACTTGGGCCGTCCTATTGCTCATAGTCTAAGGGCCTCACTTGTACACGGGCACAGAGCTTGTCAAGAGCAGAACTACTGCAAGGATGGTTACAATCAATTTGCAGTTTTGTGCTCGAGGGAAGCAGAAGCCATTGTAGAGGCACATGGAAGCCAGATCTATAAAACAGGCCCTGGACTGGCTGGATTTGAGGTCCAGCCCTGTCACCAGCTGGCTATGTCACCTAGGACTCAGGCAAAGCCAGTTAGTGATAGAGTGTGGAAGACATCTCCCGTGCTAGAAGTCCTCAACATGGGCTCCATGTGTTTGAAAGATACAGGAACTCGTAGAGGCAAAGTGCCATGGTTAGGTGCATTTTATTTTTCTAAGAGGGCCTATCGCTTTCATCCACACTCAGAAGAGTCTGTGACCCCAAAACATTAAGGTCCACATAATCTGAATCATCTCCTCCAAACTTTCCTTCAGTCTGGGAATTACCTGTGTAGCATCCTCTACAGTTGGTTATTCTATCTTGCTTTAACTGCCCCCAGTGATAGATTGTTCGTCACTTTTTAAGGTACTTATAGTTAGAAAACTCTTGATCTGTTAGGACCCCCATCTTCCTAATATTCTGATGGAGAGGGTAATGTTCCCCCACTTCCCACTATACACAAAGTTTTAGTGGGACAACGGGCATGAAAACATTTTACAGAGTAAAAGTAGTTTACAAACAAAAGTATTCTGATTTACTCTTTTTTTTTTTTTTGCGATACGCGGGCCTCTCACTGTTGTGGCCTCCCCCGTTGCGGAGCACAGGCTCCAGACGCGCAGGCTCAGCGGCCATGGCTCACGGGCCCAGCCGCTCCGCGGCATGTGGGATCTTCCCGGACCGGGGCACGAACCTGTGTCCCCTGCATCGGCAGGCGGACCCTCAACCACTGCGCCACCAGGGAAGCCCTCTGATTTACTCTTGTTAGGTAGTGATCACCATTGTATTAGATCTCTGGGTTAATTTTTATCTTTATCATCCAAACTCAACCTGACTTAGTAACTGGCTCAACATTATTTTTAATAATAAAAATAATAATAACAAGCAACACTTGGCCTCAGAACTCTTAACAAACCTCAGAAGAAACTGTCAAGGAGGCTCGCATCTGTTAATTCTGTTTCCTCTTCCTCCAACCAGAGAGCTGGGCCACCCCCCTTCCCTTAGTGGGACTGCCTGGATAGCACTCAGAGGCTCCCCGGGGGAAAGCAAGGATTTTAAAACCTCCACAGCCCCTTTCAGAGTTTCTTCAGAATATATTTACAGTGGCCAGAACCATGAAGCATACAGAGAAAGAGAAGGGAGAGCTGATGTGAGGGAAAAGAATGCTTAAATTATGCAGAAGCCATTGTAGAGGCACCCATAAGGTTGCTACGAGTGTAGGCAAATTAAATTAGTGTTTTCCATTCCCAAATCATGACCATGAGAGTCACAATCAGCACATTTTTATAAAGGAATGATTAAATTTGAGAACAGAGTATATCCCACATTACTGAGGGAAAGTACCATTTCATGAAATGGTACTCTATTTCATGAAACCCTTGCTTCAAAATATTTTATAAAATTTTCCCTTTATGTATACTGGATTGTGATGTAAATTGTAATTCTTACTATGAAACACAGTAAAAAGAAATTCAAGAACCACTGGTTGAAGCCCCTAACACCCACCGTGCGGGCGATTTCCCAGCATCAACATCTTGAATCCCAAATATGTAAATTTCCTTCAGCAACTGATGTTACCATAGTCTGACAATTAGAGGGTGATGAAGAAGCGAAACAAAACAAAAGCTTGGCAGTCAATATTCAGATGTTACAGAATCTCTTCCATACAGAAACTGATCCTGCTGGTCAGACAGTAAACAAACCAGTTCTATCTTAATGAAGTGGTTTTAATATTTGATATATCTATATATCTATAACCAGTGCATTCTTAAGGAAAGAGACAAGTGCAGTTTCTGAGTCAGAAAGATTCTCTCAAATTTCTGCAAAGAGATTTCCCTGAGCCTGTGAAGAATCTAATCACAGTCAATACTGAAAAAAAAAAATCTCTTAAGCTTCTGGATAAGATAAACTCGGAAATGTATACTAGATGCCTTCAAAAATACACCTTTTCTTCCAAAAATACATTTGTGTCTTCCTTATTTACATTTTAATATAACTTTCACCTCTTTTCAGGGTTAAACATCTGTGCATTTTTAAAAATAAAATTGCTATTAAATCTAATGCTAGGAAATTTAAACCAACGACTTGAATTCTAATTTTAAATGAGTTGAAAATATATGTGAGTATTCTGAATTAGACTTACGTGGGGTTTTTTGTTTGTTTGAGAATGCTGCGGTATTTAAGTAATTGCTACTTAACTTGTTAGCTAGAAACATAACAGTATTTAAAGGCTCTATTCAAATTATAAGGAAATTGGCCACTTCCAGCTGTTTGGCATAAACAGAGTCTTATTTATATTGAATAATCTGCTTTACTCTTTGTAGGATAAGAGGATATATGTTTCCCAGTATGTAAGAAAGATGACAGTTGGGAATTGTTACCAGGTTCTTCTGTCTCTCCCTTGGAATCTTACCCAAATGCCCATTACCTTAGAGAGGAGATAAAAGATATAAACTCACTTTGACGGATTCCTTTTGCATTGAGATCAGCGTCTCAAAGGAAAAGTGACAATTGCGGAGAGAATCTGATGTAAAAGACTGACACTGGCTAGGGAAGTGCACACAGTGTAATGCACCTGCTCATCCTGTTCTATCAGATAGAAACTCAGCCTGTCCTCGCTCTCCATCATCATGGAGTGATGCCCATCTCATGACTACTCTTGCCAGCCCCTATTTACAGTTGTTCAATACATGGATTTGGTGATATCTGCATGGCAACAATGGGCCAAGAAGGTTAGATGGAGGAAAACACTCACTTACCTTCTGTGATGGTAAAACGTTGAAAGTTACACTTATTTAGATTTCGTGATCCTACAGTAGGAGATGGACAGAGCAATGGGATACTTTAAATGACACTTTCTAAATACCTGGGGCAAAATTATATTGCATTGTATAATAGTATGTGTAGGAGGGATAAACTACTACTTAAAACAACTGTTTTTAGAGCTCTTCAAATACTTCAGAAGCTTTCATTTATATAAAGTAGCTCCCATTTAAGTCATTTTCCTATTATTTAAGGATGTCTGGTAGATATTACAATACCGGGAAGTGCATTCATATTTTTAAATTAATACTTAACATGCTGTAATTTGTACTTTTTGCCAAATCAAGCTAGTCTTCCTCTAGTTTCCTAAATGGTGAGAGTTTACTCTGGTTTTTTTTATGAATTTGTCTCCCTTTGCTGTTTGGAGGATGTTAGTCAATCTGCTCACTTACCTGTGTCTCTAGAATATTCAGATGGTTCAATGGGCAGCAAACTGAAGATGCAGAGCAGTTATTTTGAAAGAAAAGGAAATGTTTTCATGTGGACTTATCTTTAGCACTTCTGCCCTCATCTCCACTTGGAACACGTTTATCTCCAAGGCTGAAGCTCCCTCCCTAGGTGGTATCCGACACAGCTGGAGTAATGGCTGCACCGATGGTAAGACAGAAAGTGACTGAGCGGGGAGGTGGGGTTCAAAGCAGGAAGGTCATCTGCAGTGTGACCCCCAGCCCATGACCCTATGTCTCAGGTCACCACACCACCCTTTTGACAGCCCAGACTGTGGGCTGACCAGTGACCACCAAGGTTAGCTGCTTCAATGCCATCTCCTCTGGTTCCAGATAAGATTGAAGACGAGTTGGAGATGACCATGGTTTGCCATCGGCCTGAGGGACTGGAGCAGCTTGAGGCCCAGACCAACTTCACCAAGAGGGAGCTGCAAGTCCTTTATCGAGGCTTCAAAAATGTAAGACCCACAGGGCCTCAGAAGGCCCAGGCAGGATTTCCCATTTGGGACTAAGCTCTCCCAAATGCCAAAGGGACCCATCAGAGAGATTTTTGCACATGTGTAGTTGTAAAAGGAAGGCCAAATCTATAAAGGAAACAGGAGAGCAAGGTCACCTGGCTAGAGGAAGATGCCAGGCAAGAATGAGGCAGTCTCAGTAGATGGGAAATTGGCCAACAGCCCAGAGACTTCACAGGATGGCACAGCCTTGGCCCAGATACCAGCCTTAGCGTAACCCATTCACACTGTCAATACTGTTAGTGCCCCAGAAATGATGGGATTTAGGTCTGCTGCTAACCAAGCTCACAGACTGAAGTACAAGCCTGATAGCCAATGTATTAATTTACCTCAATTTCATATATTTAACCTCATGGTAGCCTTGCTGGAAAGGTACTGGTAGCCCCATTTTACAGGTAAGGACACTGAGAATCAGAGACTGACTCACTCCGAGTTACAAAACTTAGAAGGGGCTGAGCCAGGATCCAAACCCAGGTCTTTCTAATCCCAAAGCCCAGACTCTTTCCACCTCACAGTGCCCGTTCTCTGATGACATCTCATCATTTTGCAAGGCAGCTTCAGTCCTAAGGTGGAACTATCTCCCAGCCACTCACCTTGGAGGTACGGAGGTGCACAGGTGGTTGCCCGGTCCCCGCCCACCAGGCATCACAAGGAACCCCAAGGCTCTCAGACAGTCCCGCTAACTCTCCCCCCCTTCACACAGGAGTGCCCCAGTGGTATGGTCAACGAAGAAACATTCAAGCAGATCTACGCCCAGTTTTTCCCGCATGGAGGTGAGTCCGATCTTGAAACAGATCCCTCCTGGCTCCCTCTCTTCATCCCCTGGCAGCCTTCCTTCCTCCAAGTTCATACTTCCTTGTTATCTGCCTCCTCCTCAAGGTTGGGGAGAACTCCGAGCAGAATTCCTCCCTTATTGCAGGGTGTGGAATTCACTGAAGCTTTAGCAGAAAAGAGCTCTGAAAATGGACCTTGTCCCAGAGAGGAGAGTGATAAAGCAATATCACAAAATCTCCTAACAGCTCTGTAAAGCTGGTATTGTTATCTGCGACCCGGACAACTACGTCTCAGAGAGGCTAAGCAGCTCACGGAAGATTGCACAGCTAGTGAGTGGCAGACCAGAATTAGATCCCAAAGTGTCTGTCTAAAGCTTTGCCAAGATAGGCCTACCATTGTGCTATACTCCATCCTTTCCTTAAAACAGCTTTCCTTGAAAAAGAACTTTAGTAAATACCAGAGACTATAAAAATAAAGGAGTCCAAAAAGATGCAGGTTGAATAAAATTGTGCTTATAAATCAGGTTAGCAAGTGTGCCAGGCTCACAGCTGCTATGTCACTCTGCCTGACTCCTGCAGGAACCTGCTCTGACCCCACGGGTCTGGGGCATCAGAGGCTCTTCCTGTGGCTTCAATGTGTCACATGCCAACTTACTTCCTGCCCCAGGAGCCATCTCCTGCAGGTCCCCTTCCCCGGGTCCTGATGAAACAGAGATCCAAGTGTCCTAGACACTTCTTGGGCTCCGTTTCTCATGGACCTCTTCAGCAGCCTTCTTAGGTGTGGGACCCAGTACAGGACCACTCTCCCAGCTGGGGGCAGCTTCACCCCATGCAGGCCCCAGAACCGATGTTTGTTGAGTCCTATGGAGCCACTCTTGTATTGAGTTTTTACTATGTGGCAGGCTTGTTGATGGATTTGATGCTATGGCTATATGAAAAGTTTAACATTGTGCAGAGATGGGAAGGTGAAGCTCAGAGAGGTTGTGTTAGATGCCTGGGGTTACACAGCTAGGTAGTAACAGAGCTGCTCTCCAAGACCAGGTCTGTCTGCTCCCTAATGGGTGCTCATTCCATGGCATTGTGCTGCCACTCAGAAGAGCATCTTCTCCACACAAGTCCCGTGTCATTCATCCAACAAGAATTATACACATAGACAGGCAGGAGCGTCTCTCTCTGGGGATGGCTAGACTTAGGAGCAAGGGCGTGTCTCAGCTCTTGCCAGAACTTCCCACCTAAACCCCAGAAAAGCCAAACGGGTTCCAGGTCACAGCAGCAGTTTTTCCCACTCTGTAATCTTCTCCCTTCTGTCACCCTAGCATCATTCTCTTCTCTTTCTTACTGTTTTTAAGTGATCTCACTCCCCCCTGCAGGACCCCTGCTCCCATCACCTGCTTTTCCTTCTGTGCCTTGCAGATGCCAGCACGTATGCCCATTACCTCTTCCATGCCTTCGACACCACGCAGACGGGCTCCGTGAAGTTCGAGGTATGCTTGTCTCTGAGAGGCCCCGGGTCCCCATCACTCTTCCTCTAAACCATGGAGATGTTGGGAGAAGGAGTGGACCATCAAATGCTTCAGTCCTTTACCATTTAACAAGGATTTCCTGAAGATAGAAGAAGCAACTGCCCTTACCCTCCAGGAACTCAGGACCTCAGGGACTAACAGTAACAGTCTAATCGGTCACATGCACACCGCGCTGACCATGCTGCAGTCTCTGTACTTAGTGCTCTGCATGTATTAACTCATTTAATCCTCACGGTAACCCTAACAAGGTAGGGTTCTATTATTTATTATCGGTTTACAGCAGAGGAAATTAAGGCAGAGAGAGACTGAGTTGCTTTCCCAAGGTCAAACAGTAAGTGGTAAAGGAGGGCTTTGAACTCGGGTGGTATGTTTCCAGAGTCCATGCTCTTAGCCACCAGATGGTGCCACCACTTGTACAATAATTGTAGCCATGGGATAAGGCAACAGTAGGTGTCAGCACACACTGAGCTCCGTTCTTCCTCCAGAAGCTCCTTCCCAAAAATGGGGCAAGGTAGGCAGTGGAAGGGGAGTGGGGCTGTTCACTGAGCTTGGCCACATCCTTCTGGGGACAGAGGACCTGGGAGATACCATTCTGTAAAAGCAGTCACAGAGTCTGACCCAAAGACAGAGCTTCACCCCACCCGATGGCTTGGTGGTTAATGTCTCTCATGCCTCTTCCACTTCTCAGGACTTTGTAACTGCTCTGTCGATTTTACTGAGAGGGACCGTCCATGAGAAACTAAGGTGGACATTTAATTTGTATGACATCAATAAAGATGGATACATAAACAAAGAGGTAAGTGAGCTGAGGCCAGGGGCATATGCGAGAGCTACAGGGAAGGCACCTAATTAGAGAGAAAACAGCCTTAGTCATGAGGATGAAATGGTCCAAATGAGGAGGGATCTGCTTTGGGGCAGAGGTGGTTCCTGACAAAATGAAGGTCACCTTTGACCTCCCCCATTGCCCTACCCTGCCCTGTCCACGGGCACTCAAGAAAGGATTAAGCAGATTCATTCACTCTCACTTATTCAACGCACATTCTAAAGGGGGTACAAATAATTTATTTCAGTGTAGAGTAACTCCTCCCACGGGAATTTGCATTTTAACAGGTTAACAGCCACATGTTAAAGGTAAAAACTGGAATAGTAGCATTGCAGGCATCACCTAGAAGAGAAAAGGGAGATCTTTGAGGAAGAAGAGATTCCAGTTGAATCATATGAGCCACAACCTATTTTGCCTACTAATAAAACCTCAGAAGGGGGTCAGGTGCAGCCATCTCTAAATAAATCATCACAAATAAATTTCTGAATCTTCACTGCTTGACACTTTTAGAGCCTCAAAGTATATGTGGTATCTAGATAGTGAAATACCCACAGGTCTATCTCAAAACTCACTTTGGTATCTACTGTATCCTGGCATCTCAGTCAAAGCTTGGATTTAGCATCTTATAGCATCCCACTTCCTGAGATCCTGTGTGCCAGGTACAGTGCATGGAGTTACAAATGTCATCTCTAATCTTCACCTCAACCCTGCAGGTTTCTCTCCAATTCTCATTCCTCATTCATTCAGTCATGGACTTGCTCAACATATATTTGAGGGCTTATTAGATGTTCTAGGTGCTGAAGATAGAGTGGTGAACAGTCCCCAAAATGTGAAAATCCTAATATCCACTAATAGCAGATGTGGTAAGAATTCCAGTAAATACATATAATGGAATGACAGGTGGCCATTTAAAACCATGTAAGAGCAATCAGATATAAAAATGTGTATGTTACATTACATTTTAAAAATCACTATACAGTAGTATGTATAATATTATCTCAACTTTGTAAATAATTAAATGCTTCTATATGTACTCAATATCTTATACTCCAAAATATTCAAATACTACTTTACAAAATATATAAGGGAAGGACCCTAAAATGAGACTTATAACAAGATCTTCAACCTTGATTCAACCACTATTGCATCACTAAATAATCTTATTAACTCCTGCTCCCTTTTTTTAATTTGCAAACTAGACAGAACTGTCCCCATTAATACTCATCAGACCTTTCTGGATGGCAGGATTAATAAAGTACTCCTTAAAAGGAAAAGAAAGTGTGGATAAGCAGCTTCTTAGAAAAGATAGCTGGATCTTCCCCAGGCAGTCATTTGGAAATAGTTTCATCAAAACTGTAGGCAATGAAAATCCTGAGAGAGCAATCAAAATTTATCTTTAAGTCCTCCTGCCGATGCAGGGGAAACGGGTTCGTGACCCGGTCCGGGAAGATCCCACATGCCGCGGAGCGGCTGGGCCCGTGAGCCATGGCCGCTGAGCCTGTGCGTCCAGAGCCTGTGCTCCGCGGCGGGAGAGGCCACAACAGTGAGAGGCCCGCGTACCGAAAAAAAAAAAAATGGGAGTGCTATTTAAAAAAAAGAAAAGATGGGGGGCGGGGTATGTCAAAAGACCACAGAAGTCAGCCTGAAGGAGTTCCCAACAGCCAAAGCCAGAACAATTTGAGCAACAAAATACAAATTGATAGTTTTGGGTTATAACCTATAAAATAAACTAAATGTCCATGAGTCCTAATTAATATATATGTACAAATAATATATTATGTATTTAAATAAATAATAAATATGTATTTAAATTAATGAATACATAAACAAATGGGGGAGGGGAAGGACAACTCTTCCTTAAAGAATTCCAATTAATAAACATAGAAGGAATAAAGGAAATACAAAATCCCCATTAAGCAAACATTACAGTAATAATTTTTGCAGGCAAGATCCACTAACAGATTCTAAGATCAGTGGAGAAGCTTGACAGGCACCACCTTAATCAAGTGATCAAGGTTAACATCGCCAGTAATAAGACATAGCAACACCATGTACCTCTTTGATATGTTGCACCAAGAAGGATATAACATCACTTCTACGGTATTCTTGTCAAAAATGCATAACTTCAGTCTAATCATAAGACAACCAGGGACTAACCCAAACTGAGAGACATTCTACAAAATAACTGACCAGTACTCATATCAAAAGAGTCATGGTCTCCAAAGACAAAGACAGAATGAGGCACCGTCACAGATCAGAGGAGACTAAGGAGACACAACAACTGAATGCGACGTGGGATCCTTGAACATAAAAAGGCATTGGGGAAAAAACTGATGGAGCCTGAATAAGCTCTATAGTTTAATAGTTTTGTGGCATTGTTTATAGTGTTGTAGTTACTAGTATTGTAGCATTATTACTTTCCTAGCTTTCATCATTGTGCTGTGGTTATGCAAGTTGTTAGCATTAGGGGAAGCTGGGTCAAAGGTATACATGAATGCTCTGTACTATTTTTGCAAGTTTTGTGTAAGTCTAAAATGATTAATAATAGGTCAAAAAACAAAACAAAAACAATTAAATAAAATAAGCACATGGAATGAGGAGTAGCAGCAAGGAACTCAAGATAGAAGCTGTCCCCCGGGTCTCTGTAGACACTCCATCAGATATCCTGAAGACAAGTCTGCCTTCCTACATTCTTTTCCCCCGTTCCAAGTAGGGGATGGGGAAGCCCATGGAACACTACTTCTGGCCAGTGTGATCAGGAAAACACCACAGAGCCACTCAACAGTGACTGGGCTCCCAGCCCATGGCAGGCATGGTGCCAGGTGCAGAGAACTTAGCAATGAAGGATCAAGCATGTGTCCTCAGAACTCACATTCTTGGGGAAACAGATCTATAGAGCAATAAAAAGAACAAGTTAATTATTTTAATGTGTATATGCTGATCACTTATTCCATATCAATGAAAGATTAGAAAGGAAATATGAAAGAATTTGTAACATCTATCTGGCCCCATCAATCAAGAATGGTAATTTTTGCCTTTGTAGAAAGGGATCTTTTGGTTACAAAGCTAGAAAATCATCAACATAAACGAGCTTAAGCTGAGAGATTTCTTGTAAAGATATAGGTAGTTTCTCTAAAAAGTCTTTTAAAAAATAAATAATTTTTTAAAGTGAAAAAGAAGATATAGGTCGTTTGGTGTAACACATTTAATCCCCATTCAAGCTAGAAAGTTGTTAGTCTCCCCCCATGTCACACCAGTCTCCTCTTCGTATTCCTCTCTTTCCTCTCCCTCCTCCAGCATTGTCTTAGATCAAGTTGGCCACACTCTCCTCTGCAGGAATGATAGGTTCGGTTGGCAGCAACATGGGGGGCGGGGCGGGGCGGGGGGAAGACCTCAGAGGAGGTTTTAGTGGATAGGGTAACCATTCTCAGAAGCTGCCTCTCCGGGGCTTCTCTTGGTCCTTGTTACTACCTCTGTCTTCTTCAACTGCTTTTCTCAGAGAGAGAGAGAGAGAGAGAGAGAGAGAGAGAGAGTGTGTGTGTGTGTGTGTGTGTGTGTGCGTGCACGTGTGCTCATGAGAATATTTCTCTGTCCTCCCCCGTGTCCCACCTCCCTTCTCCCTCTACTCCTCTACTCCCCTCACTTCTCTTCTTTCTCTCCCTTCCTCCCAGAATTCCTCTCATCTCCTCTACTCCACCTGCTCCAGTCTACTCTTTATGGAAGTTCTTCCCTGTAATAGAATAATTTTCGGTGTCTGCTCCCTCCTGAGCTCAGCTAAAACCCGGAAGTGGTTTGCCCATGGCACCAGCTCCAACTCTTCACTCAGACTTCTCAAGAGATAGAAATAGAGTGGCTCAGCTCTGTAGTTGGATGTCCACATTTGTTCCAATCAGCTGTGGTCACAAGTGACAGGTGACCTGGTACAAACACAGCCACCCAGGCCAACCATTCAAAGGAATTATGGAGCGGAGAGAGGGTCTTCCAAAAATGGGGTGTGGGTTGATCAGTACATGAATATGTCCGCTCAGCTCCCACTTATAACCCCTCACTGAGGAATGCTCAGGAAGAGGCAAGCTACCCAAGAGCTTCTGACGACAAAGAATTTTCCACTGCCCTCTCTCTGGAAGGAGGCTCCCAGAATATAGCCCCTTCATCTTGCTTTCTAACTCCCTCTCATCAGCTGAAGAAGTTCCTTTTAAACACTTTCATTCTCAAAGGAGACAAAGAGCCCCAGACTGTCACCCAGAGGAGCTTAACTTCCTGGTTCCCACACTGTGTGCTTCTGTGTCTCCTCTCCAGGAGATGATGGACATTGTCAAAGCCATCTATGACATGATGGGGAAATACACGTATCCTGTGCTTAAAGAAGACACTCCAAGGCAGCACGTGGATGTCTTCTTCCAGGTAAGAGCACACACACCTGTGCGTGAGCTTTAAGCTCAACTTAGATCAGTCAACCCACGAGCCTCTGAGCAGTGGTTTGTGTCCAAGCCTGCACTACAGATGGTAGGAAACAGAAAAGAATTACAAGATATCTTGCCCTCCAGGAATAGATTATCTCATTAAATGGACAAGTATGCACTACAGAAGAGAATAAGGAAGAATATTATTAAGTATAAGTGGTAGAGTATGGACTCTAAATTCCATAAAAATGGTTGGGGGATCAGAGTAAACAGAGAAGACGTCATTAAGCACATCTGTGTAGGTGTTAAGCATTTGTGTCTGGGGAGTAAGGGGAAATCAGGTGGAAACTAGGGTGGCTTGGAAACTGGGGTGAGCTCTCTAGACCGAAGAGTTTAGCCTTGCTCTGGTAAAAAGTAGGTGCTGTTAGTCCGTGAATAGAAGAGTGGCAAAATCTTAATGGTGTGCTAATAAAAAAAATTAACCTAGCAGGAGAGTATCAGAGAACATCAGAGCTCATTCTAGTCTAATCCTCTCACTTTGCAGATGGGAAAAGCAGAGGCTCAGAGAGGCTTAAAGATTCACTCAAGGTCACACAGTAAGTGACAGAGACAGAAGTAGAACCTCTCATGTCCAGTGTTCTTTCTGCCAAATGGACAGGCTAGAAGTGAGACTGGGAAAGGCATGTTAGGGTGTCAGCAGAATAATCTGGTGATGAGAAGATGAGCAACTACAGCAAGTTTTTTAATTTGAAGGAAGCTCATGGGGGTCAAAGTGCTGTAACCAGGGCCTGGGTGGAGTTGTCTGGCCAGTGAAAGACCATCCTAATTCTCGGGGGAATGTTGGTTAACAGAAAGCAAGTTTTGGAATGCATATCACCAGATTCTTTAAAGTGCTTCTTGTTGGGTCTTTCAGAAAATGGACAAAAATAAAGATGGCATCGTGACTTTAGACGAATTTCTTGAATCCTGTCAGGAGGTAAGGAGAGATCTCGGGGCAGAAAACTTCTATATCTGGGAAAGGAAATCTGGGGCTTGGGGACAGGCAGAAGGGAGAAAATGAGAAACCTGCAGTTTCTCAGATTAGAGCCACCAGCATCACCATCACCAGCAACAACTCAGAATTTCAACAATCTCCACTCCTCAGACTGGTCTGTGGCTAGTCTTGGCTAAGCACAGGCTGAGCCACACAGACTAAGAAGGGGGATGTGAAAGCCCAGAGGGGGTCTCTGTGAAACTACAGACTTCCAAGTGGGCAACACTGTCATTTTTCAGTCTCCCTCTGGTTTGATGACCCACTCCCCAGACTACAAAGGGAGTAGCTGGAAAAAAATCTAAAGCTGTGATTCTTAAACCATAGTGTGCATAAGAATCGCCTGGGATGATTCTAAAAATGCACATTTCCAGGCCTCAACCCAGAGACTCTAGATCTGGGATGGGGATCTAGAAATCTTCATGTTAACAAAAGTGCCCTGACCGATGCTTCTAAAACTTCAATGTGCAAACCAGCCTCCTTGAAGTTCTTGTTAAAATGCAGATTCCCATTCAGAAGGTCAAGGGTGATGTTGATGTTGCTAAAAGGATAAACTGGCCCCAGAGTCAGCCAGAGACTGAACTGGAAATAATTGCTTTCCTCTAATTTAGAAAAATGCATTTATACTCCTACCTTTTCTCAGAAAGGTGCACAGTTACTCTGAGTTCCAGCCAATAAGAACTGCAAATGCAAGAAAGCTGGGGAGACGTTATTAACATGTAGTGAGCAACTACCAAGTTTTAGGTACATTAAGTAAACCTCACGTAATGTAAAAAACCCTGAGCAGTAGGGTCACTATATAGTCAAAATATTTAATAACTAGAGTAGACTGAGAATTGATCATTCTTAACTGACTTTGACCAATGCCCTGGAACAGTGCCCTAAAGAACCCCTGCTAAAGTTGGTATTAACCTGTTAGTTGATGGATCTTTCGGTAGTCTAGGGGTTCTGGACCAGTTACCAGATAGCCAGGTAGCTAGAGAGGCTCAGGTCAGCAGCTATTTACCAACAGGATTAGAACCATTTCCACACTTTAATCATTATGAACTAGCTGAACATCAGCATTCATCATACCCATTTTAAAGAAAACGGAGGCACTGCAGGTTAAGAGATGTGGTTAAAGCACAATAAGTGATAGAGATGGAACTTGAACTCCATCATTCTAATTTTAAATACCATGCCCTAGTGTACCATGCTTTTTTGACTTTGCTTAACAGTTTTTTAATCAATTTAGTTTCTCACATTAGCAAGCAATGTTGATTAATTAACTCACTTCTTTTTCACAACCCACCCTATAAGTAGATACTATGATCAATGCCATTGCACACACGAAGAAACTGAGGCACAGAGAGACTAAGTAACTTGGCTAAGGTCACTCAGCTCGTAAGTGACAGAGCCAGAATTAGAATCTAGGCAGCCTGACTTCCGAATCCATATACTTAACTGTCAGGCAATTATACCTCCCTGTTCTAGAAACTTTTAAAAGATTTCAAATACCCATAATCAACTTTGTTGATTTTCTCTACTTTAGGTCTGCTTTCTATTTCATTTATGTGTGCTCTAAATTATTTCCTTCCTTCTGCTTTTTTATTTTAATTCAATTTTTTAGGTTTTCTTTCTAGATTTTTGAGATGGAGGTTTAGATCATTGATTTTCAACCATTCTTTTCTAATATATGCATTTAAAGGGCTACATTTTCCTCTGAGTACTGCTTTAGATCCCCAAAATGTTGATATGTCACATTTTCATTATATTTTAATTCAAAATATTTTTCTCTGACCCATGAAATTAGAAATGTGTTGTTTAATATCTAAATATTTGAGGATTTACCACATTCCATACTTACTCCTTAGAGGATATACAATAGAAAAATGTAAACTAGAATAGAATAAAAAAGAAAAAACATGTGATCATCTCCATAGGTATAGGACAAACATTTGATAAAAATGCAATTGCCCACAGCTTCTTAAAAGAAGTAGTCCTCACTTGTTTACTGGAAAATTTGGGTTTTTTTTTTCTGAATTCCTCTTTAAAGCCAGAGAAGGTGCTTCTCCCTTTGAACTTCTCACTTTCTAGGTCCCCACCTACCCCTTACTCCCTGTTTCTCATACCCTTGCAGAGTTCTTTCTGAATAGGAGACCCATTCTGCAGATTTGCTCTGGAGATTTGAGAAGTTACAGAGCTTCTCAGGGAGAAGCCTCAGAGAATTCTAACCATCCTCTTCTCCCCCTCCTCCCATCCCAGGATGACAACATCATGAGGTCCCTCCAGCTGTTCCAAAATGTCATGTAACTGTGAACACAGCCATTCGGCTCTCAGAGACGTTACTAAACAACCAACTTAACACCTTGATCGGTCCTCCTTCTGATTTTACACGCGGACTCTTGGGACAGAAACACATTTTGCACTTTGGAAGAATTCTCTGCAGAGACATTTTGTGGAACCCAGGATCACGTGGCTCAGTCTCTGACTGCCAGCTCTTCCTCCTCCCTCTTCTTGAGAGAGACAAGATGAAATCGGGTTTGTTTTGGAAGCATGCTCATCTCTTCGTACTGCTGCCCTATGGAAGGTCCCTCTGCTTGAGCTTCAACAGTAGTGCACATTTTTCTGTTTGCGTGCCCCAGGCTACTGCCTCCAAGTCCAGCAGACCTTGATGTATCTGGAAGCAAGATGACCTTGAGCCAAATGCACATCAGCTTCTGATGGTCTCCCAAACCAATGTGCCTGTTTCTCTTTCTTTGGTGGGAAGAATGAGTATTATACGGAACAATTAGAATCTACTATGACTAGATTGGGAGAGCCAGCACCTAATGTATGTAGGATAGGACTGAATTATTAAGCATGGCATTGTCTGATGACCCAAACTGCACATGCCCTTTGTTTCCAGAGGCAAGGACAATAATGCTGTCTCATATTAGCATCTATGCTGGTGGTACAAGTCCCTTAACACGCACAGAAAGGGAGCCAATGCCCAGTGGCCCATGCCTCCACTCCATCTCCTGCTAGAGCCCAGCACTGCATGACCCTCCCAGAAAGCCCAGGATGCCTGCAAATTGCTGTAATTTTATACCATCTTCTAATCAATAAACAGAACTATTTCTTACGATCTTAATCTTCATTTCATCCATGACATTGGGCAGAGGAGGTAAGCTGTGAAAGGGAAGGCTAGCCTATTCCTTTGGCATCCAGTTATTAGTGCCTACATTGTGCCAGGCACTGTGCCAAGTAGCACATCACCCTCCCCTGCCCCCAAGCAAACATCCGATTCAAATGCAAATACTGTGACCATAAGCAAATACAGCTTAAAAATGAGACTCTTCACAACACCCCCCCTTCCAGAACAAGTGTCACTCCCAAGACCCTCTGGTATAGAAAGTCTGGAGCCTCATATGGTGTGGTTGGGGGTACAGAGATGAAGAGGTGGTCAGGACCCCCTGCTGAGGGACTTGGAGTCCAGGAGTTGATCAAGGGGCTTCAGCCTATAAACAGAAAATGATTGTTTATATTGGACACTGTGGGTCTTGGTTTCCTCATTTGACATCACATTTAAAAGATTAAGAGCTAACAGTGGCATTCTTGGAGGAAAAGCAATTTACTGAACCCCTGTTATGTGCCAAGGGCTGCACTAGGGGCTTATATGCATTATCTCATTTCATGGCAGAATGCTCTGGGAGGTAGAGTCTTCATTTTGCTGGTTTGCACACTGAAGCTCAGAGAAGTAAGGGAAACTGCCTAAGGTAGCACAGCTCCATAGAGAGATTAAACTCTTCCCACTTTCTCCTAGAGCCTTCCTACTAGGGGATTCTGCCTCGCCCCAAGGAACTGAGAGTACCTCACACAAATCTCATTTATCTCCAGTCAGCTCAGAGAGGCAAAGGCATTCTTTGAATCCAAATAGTAGAGGAGAAAACAGATATAGAGAAGGGAAAAGCCTCAGGTACCCGTGGATCACTAGCGAGAGCAGGTCACCACACCTCTGCATGGATGAAATATTCCCAATCTGATTGCCATTGGCTGCTGCTGCTTTATGGCTGGAAATTACAGAGGCCACAGCTCTGTTTCTCTATTTGAGCTTCCTGAGTGCAGCCATGTGGTCATCTAAGGCTGCTGGACATGTGGCTGGCCCCTAGCAAGGCATATACTTAGGTCCAAGCAGACAATCTATTCTTGTGACCTTTCCACTGTGGGGTGTGAACCTGCATCCCGAGGCTGTACAATGTCTAGGCCATGGTTCTCCACCCTGGCTGCATATCATAATCACCTGGGGAACTTTGAAAAATGCCAACACCTGGGCCCCATCCCAGATCAATTGAAGTAGAATCTCTTGAGTGTAGAACCCAGGCATCAGAATTCCTTAGAAGCTGCCCACATGATTGTAAAGTGCATAGAGAGCCACAATGGGGACCATACCCAGTGCTGGGAATGGAGCACAGGACCTGAACCATCCCCCTGGCTACAGTGATTGGTTCAGAGCTAGGCTTGATACCTATGCCAGTCCACACAGCATGAATCTCAAGACTTGCACTGGGAACAATGGGGCAAAGATGCTCTCTCTCCTATTGGACATGAATGAGACAGCAGTCCTAGGACATGTTGGTAGTGATTGAGGAATTCTGAGAGGTTATCTGATAACCAAAGGGGAGAGAAACCAGAATCACAGAAGGCAAGGCAAAGAGGTTTTTTTAATAAAAAATTTAAAAATAAACCAGAAATTGATGAGACCATTGAGCTGCTAGATCAAGCTGCATCTGAACCTACACATACCTCTGACCTTTTCAGATGCCTTTGTTTGATGCCTATGTAAGATTTAGGCCAGTGTTTATCCACCATGGCTTCATATCAAAATCACTTGGGGAGGCACACTTAGGGAAAATTTTCAAAGTACCAAATGCCTGGGCCTTATCCCAGGTTCTAAATCAGAATTTCTAGAGGTGGGGCCCTGAGCATCAATATGCTTTAAAAGCTCCCCAGGTGATTCCAGTGTACACCTAGAATTGAGAGCCCTGGCCCTAGAAGAGTGGAAGGGCTGCTGCCCTTCTCCCTGTCCTGGCCAGACCACAGGTAAGAAGCCCAATTCAGTCCTCGGCACCCAAAACTGAGAGGAAAATCAGCATCTGGAGATATTCAGAGAGAAATCAGAATGGAAGGAAGATTCAAAACTTGTCCTAAGATGAATAATCAACAGAAAGGAAGTTGGTTGTCCTGGTGAGGTAGGGAGAAAAGGATAACCTGTTGGAGCAACTGCAAGGATATGGGCCACCACTCATCAAAGCTTTTAATAAAGGAACAAGGAAAAAATAAATGCTGCAGCTTCCACAGAAGCACAGAAACAGAAAGAGGCCTGGGCTTTTGTGAATCCGTGCATCCCTCAGCAACTGGGGTATTAAGAGAAATGAGGTTCTCAGCTTGGAACACCCTCCTCTTGGCCTCCTGGGGGGATCCTGCTCCTCCTGAATCATCCAACAAATTGTCACTATTTGCCAGTCATCGTGCCTGCTGACGGGGATTCAACCGTGTAGTAGATACCTTATCAGACACGCTTGGCACTCACTGACTGCACAGGTGGACTCAACGGCTGCTGGCTGCAAATGCCTGGGACCTTTTGCCTGTCACTCTGACTGTCACAGACAGACTGTGGCCAAGATAGCCCCACTCTGTTTGTGGGCAGGGCAGGCAGGGAGAATCAGGTAGTTAGCACTTCCCAGGAGTAGCCCTTAGCCAGTGACCACTGAGAGTTGGTGGATCAATACCCCAGACCCCTCTCCTCAGTAGGAAGAACTCTATACCTTCTCCCAGACTTCTCCACTAGGATTAAGCCCCAATCACCCACAATAGTAATCTGCTCAAAAGTACACCCCTTATTGACCTCTTTCTCTTCCCTGTCTCACTTCCTGCATTCTCCTACCATTGCTTCCTGGAATCCCCTCCCGGATAAACTACTGAATCCCACATCCTTGTCCCAGGGCTGGATTCTAGAGGAACCTAACCTAAAACAAGTAATGAATAGGCCAGATATGTGTCCTGCTCTCATGTATCTTATTTTCTAATGGGAGGAAACAGAAAACAAATAAAATGATTTGGGGTAGTTAAAGTGGCATGAAGAGAACAAAAGTGTGATGTGATAGAAAATGACTGGGGTGACTTGGGAGGCTGCTTTAGACAGCGTGGGGAGGGAAGGCTCCTCCGAGCTGAGCCTGACGTGATCTCAGGGGTGGGGGGGAGATCACCAGGCATTTATACAAAATCTGGGCCTAAGCTTGCTTTGACTTCTTGCTCAGGCTTCTGAGATTCTATCTCTTGTTCCATTAAGGAAATCAGATCTGTTGTGGAAATGGAGAATCCCATCATGACCAATCCTGTGGTTCTCTAACATCCCATCCCTGAATAAATCCTCTGAGCAGAGGCCAGCAAGGCCCATTGGAGAGGCTTCCAGGAGGAAATGTAGATGGGGCTGGGGACCACTGCTTGGCACCAGGCTCTCTATGGTTGAGATCCTACTTGAATCTCGCAGCAACCTTGTGAAGTAGGTATCCTAGGCACCTATTCTTCGGATGAAAAAAAGGATGCCCAGAGACACGGAGGAAACTGCCCACAACAGCTGGAAGTGGGCTTAAAAGGCTGCCAAACTCCAAAATCCATGCCCAGCTCCATTTCTTAGAGAACATGAAGACCTTCTCCACCTATTCCTAAAACTAGCTGTAATTATATACAAACACCAGAAGGTGTTAGAAAGCGGCTGTCGTGAAAACTAAAGCAATGAAAACAAGTCCATGAATTCAAGCCAAATTACTCTTCCTCTAAAGGGAAACATGCACAAAGATGCCCATATGGGTTTCTTAGAGGAGCTGAAATAAGTCCCTTCACATCAAAATAAGGCCCAATCTAATTGGCAGACCTCAACAACGTCTGCAAAAAACCCAGATCTTGAAGAGAAGGGGAAAACCTCAGGAGCAGCCAGCCCCACTGAGTGGACTTTTGATGATGACCCATGAGATTCTGACGGCTAACTGTACTCACAGTTCTAGAAATGGAGCACATGACCTAGTCTAGGCTAATCATTACCTCCCATGCCCCTGGCCACAGTGATTGGTTCAGGGGTAGGCTTAAGACTGAAGCCAGTGCAATCATCATGAATTTTAGGGTGTTTACAGAGAACGATGAAACGAAGTCCCTAGTTTTCCTGCTGGACATGAATGAAAAAGCACATAGCCCTGGGACATACAGGCAATCATTTTGTAACCTGTAGGAAAGTCAACCTATAGATGAACATAACACCACAGAAGTCAAGGCAGAGATGAAAACAAATGGACTCCTTGAGGATTTCACTGAACTGCTGGATCAAGCTTCACCTGAAGCTACATGTCCTGCCAGTGTTTTGGTTGTATGTGCCAATAAATTCATTTGTTATTATTATTATTAATTATTTTTGCTATATGCAGGCCTCTCACTGTTGTGGTCTCTCCCGTTGCGGAGCACAGGCTCCAGACGTGCAGGCTCAGCGGCCATGGCTCACGGGCCCAGCCGCTCCGCGGCATGTGGGATCTTCCCAGACCGGGGCACGAACCCGCGTCCCCTGCATCGGCAGGCGGACTCTCAACCACTGCGCCACCAGGGAAGCCCCATTTGTTATTATTTAAGGCAGTTTGAGTTGAACCTCTTGTAACTTGCAACTTGACACTTGCTAACTGACCCCAGCCCCACTCCTTCATAAGACAGATGGAGCAAACAAAGCCCACAGCTACACAGATGGGTTGCAGCAAAGCTGGACCCAGAAACCCAGACTAGTGCCACATCCACTACACTGCTCTACCACCTACTGATACTTTGCAACCATAATATAATAACAATATTAAATATCATTTACAGAACACTTACGTCATGCTCTCACGCATTTAATCCTCACTACCCTGAAATTAGTTCTGTTATTATTCCCACTTACTGATGAGGTTACTGAGAGATAAAATAACCTGACCATGATCAAATACCTAAGAAGTCGTAGAGTGATTTGAACCCAGGACTTTCTGACTGCTGCACTTAACCACCAAGACAGGAACTGCCAGGTTCAATGTGCATACAGAGCAAAGCAGACTAAAGAAATGAGCTGAAAAC